GGACGGGGACCAGTCGGTACGGGTGGCCGCTGTACAGCTGTGTCTGCCCGAGCAACGTCGTCTGCACGACAGGTGAGCACTCGGAGAATCGACTCCACCATCCGCGTGTACGTCGTCCGGTGTTCCTCTACGGGTACCGGAATCCCCGCGTCTAAACGTTGGCTCGTCGTTGAACCGTCAACGACGACCCGGTTGATGTCGTCCACCTGCATGGTTATTTTGTTCATACATATTCGTAAAATTTGACGATGAGAAAGACATGAAAACATAAAGGAATGGTGCGATGCATGGGTACTCACACAACGAGCGAAGTCCTGGTCGCGGTGCCTGGCGTAGAGGTCTCTAGTGCTCGCAATGTGGGGCTGTTGCTCCAAGGGAGCGAAGGTGACCCTAGTACGGGTGCGTGGCTGGTACCAGCGTAGGTAGGCCTAGTACGCCTCCTCAGTGTGTGGCTCTCCCTCGTGGTCCACGACCTCCTTGGTTGCGAGCAACCAGTTCTCAACAAAAGTCGCCAACTTGGCGGGCCAGTCGCCAGCTGACTGCTGACCCTTGCGCGAGTGCCTGCGAATTAATGTACTAGTGCGAAACGTGCCGTCAGATCGTCCTGCCAGTCCACAGCCGTGGTCACTGGCCCAACAGTGTCTCCCGCGAGCGGTAGCCCCAACAAGTACGATACGTCCTGTAGGGTAGGGGCTACCTCACCGCATAGCAAGTGAAAAGTGTGCGTCTCTGGCCTCCATCGGTCAACCAAAGCTGCTAGGAGGGACTTGTCCACAGTCCATCGTCTGGCCGGGTCCACGTGGCCGGCGGCAGCCTCCACCAGCCGACACATCGGTAGGAGGCCGGCCTCACGCAGCCTGCAATAAGAAATTAATATGTCATTATAAAAAATATTACAGCGCAACTAATTTATAGTAATACACTGTTCGTACCTCTCGACAAAGGAGTCGTGAACCGTGAGTAGCTCACCGCACGTCCGTGCCCGGAACGTCCCAAGCTGAGCCCCCTGCACCGCAGTAAGGTGAGACCGGTGTCGCTGATCTATCGCCGGGTCCAACAGCTGAGGTGTATCCTGACGTGCCATCTCTGAAAAATATAGTGTTTCGTGTTAGAACAATTCAAAAAGTAGTAATGTAAAACAAAAGATGACTCGCAAAATTATGAAATAGTAATAAAATCATGAGAATAATTATGTACAACAACAGTACAGGCTATTTAAATAAAGCAAACGTTACTAATGGTACATAACGATGACATGCAATTTAACATATATGTAGAGTTCGATAATATAACATAACATAACATAACATAACATTACGTGTCGAAGTCCGACATACATCAGCATACCTAAAGACACTAGGTGCCTTAGTCTGACGTTACATCACGAGACCTAAAGAAATGACATGCCGAAGTCTGACATTACACGACGAAACATAAACACATCGATAAGTTCGAAATAAATTACAAGCAAACCCACATGCCAACATAGAACATAAGAACTACACCACGTAGCCAGACGTGGCACGACGACACCTAGGACGTGGTCGAGTGGAGGTAGTGCCTTCACCCGTAGGGCGAGCTCCATCTGCTGCTCATCCTGATAGTCCTGCCTCCGCCGCACTTGGTTTCTCCTTGTCTTTAGGACAATGCTTGTAGGTGTGCCCACGTTCATCGCATTTGCTGCAATGCTTCACCCTGCCAGCCTCCGACTCGTCCATATCGTTGCAGATGCGACGAGTCCTCCTCCTTCCAGCCTTGCCTCGGAGCTTCGATGGGTCAGGAATATTGAGTACTTCATCGTTAGTCTCTGTGAACTCCCCAGCTATGCCGAACCCATAAATCTCGCCGCTCCATGTATGATATATTGCTTGCTTACTAAAGTACTGTGACACATATACTGCATCTGGTATGCCACACTCCGCTGCGGCAGCAATGACATGGGTGCATGGCCTGTGGAGCAGCTTCGGCTTTGAACAAGAGCAATGACATGTGCCGTCGGCTTTCAGAACACACTCCTGCTTCACTCTCTTGCGGTAGATACCCCTGCCTGCCTTATCTTGACATAATATCTCAAACCTGTGTTGTTGGGTACCTTGCACTAGAGCTCGATGTTTCATGGCCTTTTTACGCAACTCCTCTAGCTTTTTCTGCATGAAAGTTCCAAACAAAATGCTGTTGTTCGGCATAGAGGGAAGAACTGCCTGGAACCGATCCCTAAGATACCTGCATGTCCCATGTAAAATGAACTCCACTATGCCAACTAGTGGCAGTCCACGGACACCGCGCATCACCCAGTTGTAAACTTCTGCCAAATTTGTTGTCATTATTCCATATCTAGCACCACCTGTGTCATACGCCTTGGCCCATTTCTCTTTTGGTTCATGCAGAATCCACTGAGAAAATTTCCGAATCTCCAATCCAGTTCTTCTAACCAAAGTTGGACTATCCGTTGGGAGACGTCCAAGAGATTGAGGAGGGTCATCAACGGCGGTAGATGGAGCCGCTGCACGCTGATCACTGCATTTGGCTGTCAACTCATCTAATCTCTTCCAAAGCTCATTGAATTTTTTCTCCTGGTTCTGATTGCACAGCCTCTTGAACATGTTCATGAGCTCCTTGTTCTTGAATTGCTTGAAGAAATTAGCTCCCATATGACACATGCACCACCTACTTTGTACATCGTCCCAAACACCAGGGTATCCTGGTTCCATGCTCCCAAACTGCAACTCTTCTATCACTCGCAGAATGCCAGCGTGCCTATCATGTATCAGGCACACATTTGGCCTCATACCAACAACTTTTGTTTTAACCAAATTTCAGGAACCAGTACCAGCTGTCGGTATTCTCACTCTCAACAAAAGCAAATGCCAAGGGCAATACCTGATTGTTCCCATCTACCCCTATTGCTGTCAATATCTGGCCCCGATACTTTCCTGTCAAGAATGTCCCATCAATGCAGAGAACTGGACGACAGTTCACGAATGCCATCTTGCATGCATGTAGAGCTAAGAACGCCCTTTGCAGCACACTCTTGCCAGGATGTTCAATTGATGGGAATTTCTTCACTTCGTAAGAGCTCCCAGGGTTTCTTCCCTCGATAACACCAAGCAGGCGTGGCAAATTGTCATACGAGGCTTCGTATGTTCCAAATCTCATCTCTATTATTTTATGTTTGGCCCTCCAGGCCTTGGCATAGCTAATAGTATACTTGTATGTCTCCTCGATGTGTCGGATTATTGACCTTGGTTCATATGTGAGATTATCGATGACATGCGCATACATCTCAGATGCAACAAATGCACATGTAATGTTCCTGTGGTATTTCTGAACACCAGGTAAAAAACATGTATGCTTGGTAACGACTGACACTGTCCAATAATCCTTCCATTTCCCCTTATACGCGTGCACTCTCCAGGGACAACCATCTTTTTCCTTAACACACTGAACTTCATATTGCGACCGATTGGACTTGGCAACCGAAAACTCTCTATGAAGTGACACTGCAAAATGTTTTACCGCCTCCTTCATATCTTCTGCTCTACTATAAATCGCTCCCTGAATAACCTCATTTTCTTTGTACTCCCATCTCACACTATCCTCTTTAGAGACGATCAGCCCAGAAAAATCCTGACTAGCCCATTCTGCTGGATTAATATCCGTCTCCTCATCTGACGAATCACCTTCCTCTACACGCTCGTTATCAGAATCCTCCCTCTCCATTTCATCCACAATGGCTGCGACAGTCTTCCCCTCGTCGGCCACTCCACCTGGTTGAATGCCCACAGGAGCTACTACGCCCCTATCCTCTCCTGCGTTGACCTCCTCCACAGAAGTCTCATTTACTTCAGCACTTGGTCCCTCGCCATCATCCATGTTCATCTGCACACCTGGATCCTTCGGGTGCACAAACGGAACCAAAGCTAGAGGCCACCCACGTTGCATTGCATTTTCCACATACCATCTCCACACTTGAGAGTTTTGAACTGGAATTAGTTCCCAATAAAAACCCTCAGTTGCCCGACTTACTACAACATTGATTGTTATGTCACTTGTCTGTGGATCAACTCTCAAGCCCCTCATTAACCATCCTTTTATAGAAGGTACACTCCTCTCAGCCGGTCTCTCAATTTCCCTTTCTGATACAATAAAATCTGACAGATCTACCCCAGTTGGCCCGTAACGGACGTTTCCTGGTCCATGGTAAACTTGGAATATTGGTTTGTTCGACATATCTGTCAACGAATTAACTAGATCATATTACTCTTTCATGCAATAAACATCTACAACGTAATATCTTCTTGTGTAAGCCAATGCAATGGTAAAGTATTGATTCCAAACTAGCAGATCTACGTAGTTACCGATATCTACAATACGCACTTCTAAATTAGTACAACTAAAACCCTAAAAATATAATGCATTTATTCAAACAAATTTTTAAAAAATACACACTATTTAACTCAATAGTCACATATAGGAACTATGAATATTACCTGAAATCGGCATCTGAATCCGGCAGGGCTTCACCCCTTCTTCTCTTCTCCTCCCCTCTCTTCTTTTTTTTTTCACTGGATTTGAGAGGGGTGAGGAATGAGGGCTGGGGGCTGGGCGGCAGGCCTTTTATAGGCAGCGAGGCCTGCCGCCCGGCCAGAGGGCGGCAAGGGGCCGCCTGCAAAATGGCCGGCCCCCTGCGGCTCTTTTGCATTCGGCACCCTTGCCGCCCCACCAGAGGGCGGCAAGGGCTTTCATGCAAAAAAAAAACCACCCTCCGTCACCGCCCGTTCCTCCCCCGTTTGCCACGTCAGCTTGCCGCCCACCATTGGGGCGGCAGGGTCTATTTTTGCAATTTTGTTCGCCGATAGATTATTTCTGTAAATATTAAAAAAAATCTAAAAACGAAAAAAATTCGTCGCCGAACCCGAGTTGGGCCAGAAGGATGTGGGCTTGTCCGACTGCGAAAAGAAACCATCATCATTTATCCGAGCCAATAAATCTTACTACTTCGCTACCTAAGAGGAATCGACAAATCGACACAGCCAAAGCCGTCGTCGTCCTGCTTCCTCCTCCCCCGCAGTAGTCGCCGTCGCCGCCGCGCAATCCCCAATCCCTTGGTGTTCTTCCCCGCCTCTCGCCACCCAAAACCCTAACCCCCCTCTCTCACTCCACCCGTGCTGTGCACATGGAAATCCCCAATCAGATCAGCGGCGGCGGCGGCGGCGGATCGGTTGTTATAGAAATCCCGGCCGCCACGGAGATCGCCGGAGTGGATACCGCGCCGGCAAAGGTATGTGACGATGATCCCCGTGCTCAACCCCTCCGCGACCGCGAGTGGGTGTCGCAGCTGCCCCCGGACCACCCCCTACGCTACACCTGCGGCCTTCCGAACGGGGTCTTCCTCTCCATGTCCTTCGTCACCATCATCTACGCCGTGATTGCTCCATGGATGCTGTGGCGCGTTGCTACCGATCATGTGTCCCTCATGTGGACATCGTCGATCCTCGCGTGTTCCTACGGCGCACTGTGGACTATAGCCTTGTCCGAACGGCTAGCAGGTGCCTTCTTGGCTATCATCTTCCGCGTCTCCTATGTTGCCTTGGTGGCCTTCGCGTCCACGCACCTGATTGGTACCGCCAATGGGATCTCGATCGTGTATCTCGACACGTTCTACGTTGCTGGGATGCTCGGGTACGCCGTCGCGGAGTATCGTCTCCGTCGTGGTACCGAGCAATGCCCTAGCGCCATCTTAGCCGCCAAACCTCCTCCATTGGAGGACCAAGAGCGAGGCGACGAGGAGGCCGGGCTCTACTACATGGGCTTCTTGTTTGGTTCGGTATCCCTCTGTTTGGTGGGGAGGATGGCGTGGCTGCTTCTCTACCCCTGCGGCGGCAAGTGTCTCATCTCTTACGTCATCGAGGAGCTCTCGTTTGAGGCATCAATGCTGATCTACATATGGGTTATCTTTGTTTCCCTTACTCAGTTGGAAGGGGCTCTGGTCTGTTACAACACTCTGTTCTGCAAGATGCCAATTTGTTTTGGTGCATGGTTCGTTCTTGGCGTGCTTCTTGGCGTACCTGTGAGTGGTGCTATTGAGATGCTAATCTTTTGGATTGGCACTATGGCTCTGGCTGGATTCTTTGGATACTGTCTCGCGGTTCACGCATATTGCAAAAGGTACCATCTCTGTTCCTGGCAAGATTATTTTACTTTTACGTTTAATTAGCTGATCAGATTTATGCAGTCAAATATAAAACTAGTTGTGAATCATGTTCTTTTTTTTCTATGGACAATTACATGCAAACTATGTTTTCAACGCTTTTCAATGTGAGCTGATGAGATTTAGACAATTTGAATATGCTGCATGTACCATTGCATGTCTAACACTAGACTTGTTCTTGGTGGGATTGTGAGGAGCCAAAATGATATCAATGTTTATATCCTAGACTGTTCTTTATACTCTCTCCATCTACTTTTGATAGCCATATTTCATCTTGATACACAGACCAAGGATAAGTAATTCTACTTATCATCAATTTAAACATGCTACTAGCCATTCCTCGTAAACAAGCGATTCATTAATATTTACATTTCTTAATGTCCATGTAGCCAATCATGTGTGGAAGAATGAATAGTCACGCATTAAATTCGAGAAAATCATTAAGATGATAGATTGTTGGATTGAAATATACCTATCAAAAATAAAATTTTCAGATTTGGAAATATGACTATCAAAAGTAGATGGAGGGAGTAATTCAGAACACTAGACCCATTCTTAATGTTGAACTGAATATCAGTTTTTGAGCAAATTGTTCTGTTTTTTTTACGAAACTTTTAATAATTAGACTATTGCAAAACTGTGCATGATTATTTATGACATTGTTGGTGTCTCTTGTGGTTTTTTTCTGAATTTTGAACATCATGATTCACGAATGCCCCTTTTTTAATAAGCTGTAAGTTTGAAAACATATATATGTTTTAGTTTTCTTGGATATGTTGCTATAGTAATCTTCTATGCTGAACTTAATTGTTAGCGATCATGTTGTTTCTGTTCACCTAGGTAGGTTGATACTATTCTAAAGATTTTACCATGCATATATTATGTGTTCAACATTTCAGTGAATCTTGCGTATATTGCTTAAGACATTGAAATTTTGTTGTCGACGATTGAATAGGAATCAGAAGACACCAGCTTAGAGATTTGCGGGAGCTTTGATGACCGTTTTGAGAAGCCAGGCTTTACTCTTTGTTGCTCTTAGAGACCAAAGAGCGATTTTAAAGTATGATCAAGATCTCATTCTCTAGGTGTTTGGTTGAGTGCTCTTAGAGGCAGAGTAACGCCAATGCCTATTGTGTGTAGTATTAACTTACATTGTATGGTAAAGTTTATTGTAAATGTTGCTGATTGTGCATAATTGGAAGGTGGTGACTGGATGAAGAAATACACTGTGTTAGGTTCAGGACGAAAAAGGTTAAGGATATGCAGAAGTAGCATATCTGATGCAGGCGTATATATATATTGCAATATCCGTCTTTTGCATTTGTTGTGTTCGATCTTATAACTGCTTTGACACGGCGAGAAGCACGCAAACACGTTTCGACTTGGCTAGGCTCCTAGTAGTTAGCTAGCACGTTTTGCCCGGTCAGTGTTAATTTGCCGCTTGGTTTGCGTGAGTAGTTAAGCATCCTGGTAAGAGCAGGTACAATAATGGGCGGTAGTAGATCCACGTAGGCGCGCGTAATTGGCCGTACATCCCACGCTATTCAGAGCAAAGAGATGCCTAATAAACACATCCCCTAAAGCTATATTTTGGGAATTAAGTCTAAATCACAAATTGAGATCCTAATATTTCCTCACGCCCAATACCAGCCCAAAGGTGAGACTCTTCAGGAGCTGTCCGTGCTCCTAATCGCTGCATACGCAGGAGAAATCCTAGAAAATTTGGCAACTCTGTACATGTATTCTGAATGTGGGCTATAGCGTGCTGTTATGCAGAGAAAGAATTGTTTTGTTCATGAAATCAGCTGTCAGTTTTAGTCTAATTGATAATTTACTTCCAACAATCCCCTATGGAAATATTGATATTTTGCTTGGTAGAAAATTTGAGTGACCAATTCCTCTCAAAGGGGCTGCCCCGAGTAGTCTCTATGCAGGATTTCTTGATTTGCTTCTTGGACATCGCATCATATTTAAGCATGTTTTCCTTTTTTATCTATACTAATATAAAAAGGAGGAGTTGTCCCCCTCTAATCCTATAGGTGAAATCATCCGGATTAATCCGTACCGTCCATCCGCGCGCAAGAGGTCTCCACCGCACGATTGAGTACTGCCGCGAAGACTACTCTCCATTCACGCGCGGAGACTTCGCTCCTCCTCCTCGGCGTCCTCACTCGCTCCTCTGTACTGCCGCCGCGCCGCTGCATCCTCGCCGAAGTCGTCTTCTTCTCCGTCCGCCGCCGGAGCCGAGGTCCCCTTCCGCCGCTGCCGGATCCTACCATCCGTCGCGGCCGGCGCTCCTCCTCCTCGCTCGCTCGCTCGCTCCGGATTACTGCCGACGCGCCGCCGCATCCTCGCCGGAGCCGAGGTCCCCTTCTGCCGCCGCCGGATCCTACCATCCGCTGCGGCCAGCGCCGAGGGCGGCCCCTTCCGCCGCCGCCGCCGACGCAGTCAGTGCCTCCCTCTACCGCCGCCTAGGCCCCCGCCTCCGTGCCGTCCGGGAGCAGGAGTTTCGGCAGGGTCGTGTGGTCGCCGTCGTGCCGCCACAGATCGAGACTCGCTGTCGCCCCGCCGCAAATGCCTCTGGATCTCGCCTCCCACCACAGCCACGTGATCTTCTCTCCCACCGGCCTTCCACTAGCTGCCTGCACCTCCTCAGTCGGGTAGCCGCCACCGACCCTTGCCCTTCGCTGCCCCGTCATCACGGTCGTCCAAGCCGCGTGCCGCCATCGCCAGCCATCCTTCTTACACTCACAGAATGTAGCGTATCTTAGCAGATGCCAATGTGAATGCAGTGACATATGTGGGCTTCAGTAATTAGGAGGAACCAAATAGCAAAGAAGGCTCCTAAGCTCCTGGTGCATATTTTCAGTTATTTCATTTTCTGGATCTAGCTTGATTGATTGACTTGAACATTCCATTTTTCCAGGTGACATATATGAGGTTATGCTCCTATAGGTTGATTTCATATTTTTTTCCCCTGTGAACGCAACTGACCTCTCGGTCAATAGTTCTTCCTTACTGTGATTCATGTGCTTCAAGTTAATAGTCTGGTTCTTTCAAAATGAGCAGATCAGTGCTTCTTGAGGTATTCTACTAATAACCTTTGCCTTTGGTTTTACTCACACTCTGTGAGTGTGTAAAAGTAGCTTTCCACTGGACTTCCTTGATTTCCATGGATATGCAGTTAGACATAGGTGTGTGACGCATTAACGTGTCTTTCTGCAGGTTGGCACTTGATAATTTTGTATTGTAATATATAAATAACTCAGTTGCGCAGGTGATTAATGGTTGACAGAAAATTGCCTTCAATTTAGTTCCGTCAATAAGATACTGTGATCTAACTCAATTCTCTTCCATGCCTGACAGCATTGATTCTTGCTGTAAATTTGTATTTCTCTACAAATCAACTTTTATTGCTGAAAAAATATTCACTTCAAATACATAGATGTGCTTTAATGACTATTTATGATGAAATTCATTCAAAGCTTTGGTTTGCCATCGTTTGGCCACCAGTTTTTAATTCCGATTGCTACAGAGGAATTCGCTGTTAGTTTTTATTTGCTATGCTTGTTTCTAATTTACCTTGCAGTTGCAATTACGGAGCCCTCACCAAGAACGGCAACAACAGCAGGCAAAGCTCAACAGATTTGGGTTTGGCGCTGCAAGCTGGAAGAAGTAGGCGCATCAACAGCATAATCCTTTCAGTTTTGGGATACAAGATGCGAGTGCTCAGTCACGAAATGCTCTTGGCCAATCAAAGGTTCGTCATCTCTAATCACAAAACAACTTTTGATTGCACAACATTTTCCTATATAGGGGTATTTTTGTGTATATGACTAACAAATTGTTGTATTAGCTTTTCCAAATATGTGAGGTAAGGAACAGATGGACATGGAAGAATTGGAGGTAACCAATATTGTTACGCATATATTTTCCTATCTGAATCTGTTGTAGAGAATGGCAGATTTCCTTCTCACAGGCATAATTGCAGACGGTCAATACTTTGAAAGGGTAGCTTCGGTTAGAGGTTTGTAGTACCTTTGCTAGCATTTATCTACTCATCTTGGAGATATTAGTTAATTGTGAATCGATGAGCAGTGGTCAAAAAGAAGAAAGAGCATGAATTCCATAACTAAATCTTGTGGGCTATTTTGTCAATCCATAACTAAACCTCAGTAAAACTTTTAGTACCCAACCTGTAGATCATAACTGAATATTCACCTAATATTGTGGCCTACAATTTCATTTCCCAATTCGATGCTCTAGAAGTTTAGAACTATAACATGCATAATTTCATTTTTCTTGCACTGCATAATTTTGTAATTACAGCATGTATTGGACAAACCTGCATCTTTTGCTTGTATATAAAGATTATGTTGTAGAAAGCAGTGGAAATGATTTTTGATGTTTCGGTTCAGTATGCAGTGGATAACGCTGGTGAAAGCTCCAAACCAAATTCGTCCGCACGAACAGGTAATGATACATTTACATTTATTCAGCTGATGCATTCACGTTTCCAGTTCACTAATTATCAATATGTCAACTAGACCATCCTAATATTTATTTAATTGTTTCTATACATTTCTGAATAGTTGTGCCAACCCTGACTAATCTGATACCACATATTGATGGGCCTGTACTGCCAACTTTTTTCATGCCTTGTGATGTGCTGTGCTTAAAACTCCTACACTGCTCCTGACCATTGAATCAGGCATGTGTTTTGAATGATGACTACTTCATGTAAGCCTATGGAAAAAAAAACATTTCAGTGGACGGTTATATTACTCAATGTGATTACTCAATGTGATTAAGGATAGCACCCCAAGGTGATTTAGAACTGGTATTTTTCTGCAGGAAATGAACATATGCAGTCTGTAATGATACCTATGTGTTTCCCCGTTTCAGAAAATGACAATGTATCTTGCATCCAGCATTTGTTTCTTCAGAAAATGTACAATGCCTATACCATTCAGTGTCACAAAATGTTTCTTCAGACCACACAAAGTATGGGATTGCCACGATTAAATCTTCTATCCCTATAAGCTACAATTGATGTACAGGTAAGATACATCAACCTGGGATTTGTTAGGTGAATTATGTCCTTGCTTAGTAATAAATGGTCTTCCTGAAATTATTTTTATGGACACCATTATTTGCACTATTCTCTATTTCCATTTCCGCACTGTTTTACACTAAGTTTTCTACCACATTTATCTCTTGAGTTTCATAAAGTTGCTGAAGTGATTAAAATTTGGTTGTATTGTACATGGAGTCTAATAGTTACATATATTCTTGACATTCTCAAGAATTTGTTCGGTCATCAGCAGCATATATAGTACAAGACTTTGAGTTTGCTAGAGGCAGCAATAGGATAATGATTTTTGTAAAAAGTATAGGACACTAAGTTTGACAAGGATGAAACCCATAAGGATTGTAGCTGAATTTTTTTGTGTTGTCTATGAAATACTACTACTATGTAATGTGGTATGATCAAATGGTTACCAGATTTAATCCTTTTACATTATATTATCTACAGATTTATTTTGCCAGGCAAGATACTTTTTTTTTTCAAATGCTGGAAGTTACTCTCTTAGCAAAATATAAAGAGATTAAGTCTGTTATATATATATATATATATATATACTTTTTTTTTTCAAATGCTGGAAGTTACTCTCTTAGCAAAATATAAAGAGATTAAGTCTGTTATATATATATATATATATATATATATATATATATATATATATATATATATATATATATTAGCACAAAGGTGCTTTTTAGTATGTAGATCTAGCTAGGTTCTTTCAGTATGTAGTTCTAGATGGTGTTATGACACAATCTGTGCCGGGTTATCCTCTATTAAACATAGTTTTTCATGAGTTACATTTTTTTTTAATGGGAACCACAAATAAATAATGTTTGAATGTGCTTTCTTTTAAAGAGAAGAATGTGTGTTGCAGATAATTGAATCAACATATACTTCTTATGAAGAAGAATCACTATTGGTGCACATTTCACATGGTTTGGTAACTAATTTGATTGCGGCTATCCATGGGCGTGAAGCAGCATATACAGTTGCAGTTCTAGGAGAACCATGTCATCATGTAAAAAACATGGCAAGACGCAGGAATGTTGGCTGGATCAATTTTTCATTGATCCATTATTTGGTCTTGATATGGGTAACTTTCAGTCCTATTTTGCATGGTCAAGTACATTGTTCATTGAGTTATTCTCTTTCATGCATTTTCGCAGGCTAATTCATGAGTTTAACCATACCATTAAGCATTCTCTTTCTATCCAATCTGTTTCATTGATGTTAACCATAGGAAATCCATTTCATTATTTGACTAAATGTTTTATAAATAGAAAATGTAACAAGATGCTACAGAAGGAGCTGGATCACACACCAACACACACCAACAGTAAAAACTGACCCTTCATACTGGGTGGCAGGACGAGCAGCTACCTTGAATAACTCTATTGATACATGCAAGAATGTACAGTATATTTAATTGAAAGCATGTCACGTCCATGACTTTTGACAAACTAGAGAATGTTGTAGGATGAATGTATGTGTTGTATAGTCTTACCTGAAGCTAATTTGACCTTTGGTATTTACAAAAAGTGCCTGCAAAGAGTTATTAAGATATTGCAATTTACACTACAATATATATGTAATTTTTGAACTTTGGTTGTTCACATGTTGGGTGTGATATATATTGTGGAAAAAAGCAATAATCTTCGGGTGATTTTACATGATTAGTGTGACATGATGTGGGAAACGTGCCTTGCACGTTCACGTTTACTAGTATCTGTAATGCTAGAAGATCAGCAGCATCGACCTTTTTAACCTGCATATTGTAACGGGGGAATTTCTTTTATATATATGGTACACTTTTAAATCAAAGAACAGCCATGTTCTGCTTTGAAAACACAGTAATTTCTGTTATTATCCTGTAATTAAGCAATCACAATCAGCATATGTGGCTGTTGCTCAATGGCATATATATATGCACCTGCCTATGACTCGGGCGGAGGTAGAGTATGTAAGGGGGTTACCAGGAATCTGGTCAAAAAAATTTTTTAAGCTATACTTCACATATCTTCACCATGTGTGCACCTCTCTCAGTGTAAACTTAGGCACCTGCACCAACTTAAACTTGATTTAAAGTAAAGTAAATTAAGCAAGAGGCACCTCCTTCATTTCGTTCTAGCTCCGAGGCTATGATACTACTAGAAAAACGATTTTTCATGGTGTTTGGAAAATATTCTTCATGGTGGCTACAAGAAAAAACCGCCATCACAGAAAATTAGGGGGGTGGGGGGTCACGGGCCGCCAGCGAAAACTGATTTTCGCTGGTGGCCACATTAAGAGGTCCACCATAAAAAATACTTATTTTTCGAGGCGAACCTCTTAAATGTCCGCCAGCGAAAATCAGCGTTTTCGCTGGCGGCTACTAAAGAGATCCGCCAACAAAAAAACGGATCTGCCAGCGAAAAGCAAAGGCTCGCTAAAAACTTTTCACGGCATTTAAAACTATGCGCGCGCGAGATCGATTCCTTCACCCACCCACGCATTTAAAACCGGTTTTCACCCACCCACCCAGTGCATTCATCTCTCCTCTATCTCTTTCTCATCTCCACCCACCGCATCCCTCTCCTTCTCCCCCACCTCTCTCCCCTACTCCCGGAGCCCCCAGCCCTCCTCCTCCTCCTGTCGGTGACGACGACGACTGCGTCGACGACGGGCGCGGACGGCGAGGCCCTCACCTCTCTCCCCTCCCCTTCCTTTCCCTCTCCCTCTCCCAGATCTAGCCGGAGGGAGGGGGCAGCGGCCGCCGCGGCGGCGACGGCAGGCGGGTGGCGGCGGAGCTGACGCAGCCGACGACGTGCCGGACCTGGCGGGCGGCGGCTCTCAAGCGCGGGTGGTGGCGCTCGGGCGCGGGCGGGGAGGCCGGCACCGACCTCGACGCCGTTGACTGTACTGCCTGGCTCCCTCCTCTCCGACCTCGACGCCATCGACCATGCTGCCCGGCTCCCTCCTTCGTGATGATTTTTGTGATGCTTGAATGCTTGTGTTGATTTTTGTGATGCTTGAATGCTTGGGTGAACGAAAACAGTTGACTGTAAATTGTTGATGTAAATTTCTGTGGTTTTTTGAATGCTTTGGTAAATTTCTGTGAAATTTTTGAATGCTAGAGCGTTGACGAAGGCGGATGGAGCGGTGTCGCTCCGTCCGCCGTTTTTTTTAAACTTGGCCAGTATTAACACTCCCGGCTGGCACAATGTAACCCGCCAGCGAAAAAATATTTTCGTTGGCGGCCGTCTTAAGCCAACCGTCAGCGAAAATGGATCTTTGCTGGTGACTAGCTTAAGATGACCGCCAGCGAAAATGAATTATCGCTAGCGGTCGATAACCGCTAGCGGAAATCTTGATCTTCACTGGCCTTTGTTTTGTGGCTGCTCCAAATTCCGCCAGTGAAAACCTAAAATCATCACCAAGAAAAATGGTTTTTTAGTAGTGTGACGAGATGTGTATATTTGCTTGAGTTATCTGCTCTTGCACTTGTATATTTTGTATATGGTGAGTTTGTTTCTAAATCCTATGCATGTGAAGATATATGGTGAATGGTAGCATTCCTGATTCTTGTCAAGATGAATTCTACTGTGAAGTATCAAATATGAAATGTTGTGAATTATCTGTGAACCCTGACATATATGCACTACTGTCAAGACGTTGTAATTTTTTTTCTAAATCTTTCAGGTTAATAATAAGAGAAAATTCGACCTATAGCACAGGAAAAAAAGCGGTACCAAAAAATAGCATAAAAAGTTCCCACTTTCGATCTATAGCATAGGCCACCGTTTTTTTCGCCCGGTAGCACTTCCGTCGCATTTTGAAGTAACGGCGTTAGATCGGAGTGGAGAAAATTTTTGTCGGACTCATTTACCCTTCGTTCCCCACTTGTTTGGCCGCGTGTTCGGTGACGCCTGCGCCGGCGGCGGCGGAGGTCACGGAGGAGTAGAGGCCGCTGCTTAGGAGGCTGTTCCTCGAGGAGGGGCGGAACTCGTCCATCAGGTTGTCGTCGTCGTCGTTGGACATCACCGAGCTGGACGGCATGTCGCCGGACAGCTACTGTGTCTGGGTGTCCTCGCCGTCGCCAGCATCCTCGCCGTCGCGCCCCCCACGGAAGAGCGGGTCGACGGGGTCCATCACGTGGTGGCGCTGCATCAGCAAGCTCGTCATCGGCCGCAACCACAGCGACGGCAAGGAGAAGTTCCGCGCTGTCGTCCCCGGCCAGGGAGCACCCCAAACCGAAGCCCACCGACGAAGGGCGCCACCGCCACCAAACCGCGTTCTTCACTGACGGCGGCAAAGAGGCCGCTTGAGGACGAGGACGACGATGATGACGTGGGCGGCCCTAGCGTCGATGTGGATGGATGTGGGCCGTTGTACGCCCTCGGGCTCATTAGCTCCGTCATCGCCGATGGCGCTGGCGAACAACGCCATGGTGGCCGTACTCGGCGTCGCAGCCCACACCTCCGCTGTCCTATCCCTGCTGCTACTCGCCGTCGAGGTTGCTGCCTACCTCCAGGGGTGGAACCTCGAGGAGGTGGCGTCACTCCCCGCTATCGACGGCCTCTTCGCCGCGCCTCCATTGCCCTCTTGCTCGGGAAAAAGGGCAAATGAGTCATTTTTCATGTCGACTCACATGTTTGGATGGCAAATGTGACGGGAGTGCTATAAATCGCAAGAAAATTAGTGTCATGTGCTTCTGGTCGAAGTAGAAAATTTGTCGTGCTATTTTTTGGTACCGGGTTTTTTCCTATGCTACGGATCGAATTTTCTCTAATAATAAGCACTACTGGATCGTAGCAGCGTCATGCACAGGGAGAAAGAGATCGTAAAGCTAGGGATCGTCTTCGCCTTCCTTCTCCACATGTGCAACCCGACGTACGATGAACTGTAGCGGCAAAAAGGAAAATCAGATAGCGGCGACGGGCGAGGCGTCGAGGTACTGTAGCGGCACCGGCACCGTATGCACAGCAAGAAAATTAGATGGATCAACTGAACTAGGCCCACCTGCTGACTCCAGCCTCTAAACGGGTTTTGGGTTTTGAGGGAAAAAAAAAGGTTAATTGGATTCATGCCATCGTAAATATGCATACTTAGATAAATACCATTACAATTCACCTATTCGTAGCTATACTATTGAAATTTTATAAAATTAGGATACAAGCCACTGCCCGTCATGTTTCCATCCATCTCTTTTTTTTCCGTTTTCTCCCGGCCGGCGACACGAGTTGAGCTGTCCCCCGGCGTGCATGAGCCGGCGACGCGCCATGGTCGCGAGCCCGCGCATGCGACACCACGGACGAGAGTCCACGCTGGTAACGCACAAGTCACGCCACACCGAGCGCCGACAAGGCTGCAGCGCCAAGGTGCCGCCCGCCGTGCCTGCGTCACGCTGTCGCACGGCCTCGCCGAGCAGCGCCATCGTTGCAGAGCTGCTGCGGCTGCCAAGCCACTGGGTTGCGGCGCACCGCCCCACGGCGACTGGCACCATCAAAGAAGAAAAGAAAACGAAAAAAGAAAAAGAAAAAAAAAACTGAGAGCAGCACCGGATGACCGAGCTACTAGCCTGGTGCGCGTCGCCGTTGCTCGCGTTGTGCCCCGGCCGCCGCAGCCGCACAGCCACGCCAGCGCCGTCGATCCGGGCGTTCCCCGGCCGCTGCAGATGGCAGAGTCATCAGGGGAGAAGAAGGAAAAGGAAAGAGAAGGGGAACGCGGGAGGCAGTGTCGATGGCGACGCCGTTCACCGTCGCCCACGCTGCGCCAGCACGGAGGCCACTGCACCCGCGCCGAGGCCGCCGCCCCCCGAGCTCGCGCTGAAACGTAGGCATCGATGCAGGCGTACTCGACCTTCGCCGCGTCGAGATCCCGTTTCTCCTAGTTGCTTATGGTGACGCTTGGCTTCTCCGTGAGTCCGTGTCGAGGCCGAGCCAGTGGTTGCAGGCATCCTCCAGGTCCACCGGCCGGCGCGGCGCACGAGACACCGTAGTCGGCGTCCAGCTTCGCCGCGTCCTCTCCAACGCCAATGCTTGCGTCGGGGCGCTGCACGCCATGCTTTCTTGTGCCATGCCATTGTAAATCGGTAGCTCAGGAAGAAGACGGGAGAAAAAAAATGGAAGAAAACGGAAGAAGATGGTTGGAACGAGACGGAAGTGGCATGATTCTAATTTTGTAAAATTTCAATGGCACGGTTATAAATAGATAAATTGTAATGACATTTATCTAAATACGCATATTTACAATGGCATGGATTCAATTAACAAAAAAAAGAAAAAAAGAGGTCCAACGTACAGGGTCCCTACTACTAGAGTCCTAGGAATATATAGGAAGGCCCTCAAGTCATACTCCCGCCGCATCCCCTAATCCCCATCAACGGTTTGTATGCGCAGAAGGGAAAAATTCTGGTCCCATGCTCCTTCGAGCCTGCCGCACACACGAGCTTACTGGATCCCTAGCTACGGCATCTAGTTTCGCCGTTTGTGGTTGTTGGATCCACCTGCATCTAGTTTCGCCGTTTGTGGTTGTTGGATACAGTGGTGGATCCAGAAAGAAATAGATTAGTTCTTAGCAAACTAGATAGTGTTACATTCCCCCTCCTATCTACATATGGTAAAAAAAATTAGTGGGCTCTTCGTGGGGCTCTCATAGTTTTCACGGCAGTAGTGGGGGCTCGAGAGTCG